GGGAGCCCGATGCGGGGCTCGATCCCAGGACCCTGGGATCATGACCTGAGCCGAAGGCAGACGCTTAACCGGCTGAGCCACCCAGGCGCCCTGTTTTTGTAGTATTTTATAGTTAACAAAGGTCTCATACTTGTTAAAGCTGTTTAAATAACTATTGGTTTCTCTCATGTATTTTTTAATTTAATTTAATTTTAAGATTTTATTTATTTATCTGACAGAGAGAGACACAGCAAGAGAGGCAACACAAGTAGAGGGAGTGGGAGAGGGAGAAGCAGGCTTCCCGCCAAGCAGGGAGCCCAATGCGGGGCTCGATCCCAGGACCTGGGATCATGACCTGAACCAAAGGCAGGCGCCTAACGACTGAGCCACCCAGGTGCCCCATACTTTATTTTATTTTAGAGAGACAGCAGGGGAGGGGGGTGCAGAGGGAGAGAGAATCTTAAGCAGACTCCATCCTGAGGGCAGAGCCCCATATGGGGCTGAATCCAGGGACCCTGAGATCATGACCTGAGCTGAAACCAAGAGTTGGACACTTAAGCAACTGTACCACCCAGGCGCCCTGCTCATGTATTTTTTAAAATAGTTTTTTCTATGTTCTGTTACGTATTTTTTCTCTTCATTCTCTGAACATTATTATTTCTTTATTGGTACTTAATATAAACTACAACTGCCTAAAGAAAGCTTTGCATTATTTTCTGTGTAACTTGTAGTTCAGTGCTTCATGCAAGGTTATTTTTGTCATTATTTTTACAAAAAGTAATCCAAGCTCATTGGGGAAAAAAATAAAACAATATAGAAATATATCAAAACGTGAAGTTTCACAGTGAACTTTTATAATTTCACTCATAGATATTTCTCATTTTGTGTTCCTTCTCTCCCCTGTGTAAGTTATGGTAATGTATATTAATATCTATAAGAATGGATATTTATATCAAATGTCTTTTTGGCATCTATCAAAATAACCATGTAACCAGAATAACCAAATAACTCTTTATAAATGTAAGTCACATTAATGGATTTCCTAATATGGAACCATCCTTGTGTTCCTAGAATAAATCTTACTTGGTCATGAGGGGTTATCTTTTTAATACATTGGTAAATTCGGGGCGCCTGGGTGGCTCAGTCGGTTAAGTGTCTGCCTTTGGCTCGGGTCATGATCCCAGAGTCCTGGTATCAAGTCCCCAGCTCGGCGGGGAACCTGCTTCTCCCTCTGCCTGCTGCTCCCCCTGCTCGTGCTCTCGCGCTCTCTCTCTGGAAAATAAATAAAAAAAATACATTAGTAAATTCAATTTACCTGTCTTTTTATTTTAGGATTTTTGTACTTATAGCCATAAGTAAGGTTGGCCTTCTTTTCTATTTTGTGGTGTCCTTGCCATGTTTTTGTATCACGGTTGTAGTAACCTCTTAGGATGAAACATAAGTCGTTCATCTTACTTTATTCTCTGGGGAGGTTTAAATGACATAGGAATAATTATGTCTTTTTGTTGGAGTAAAAGTGCCCATAAAACTGTCTAGGCCTGGGTGCTTTTGGTCATGGAAGAATAAGTCTTATGGTTAATTTTTCTGTTTACTTTATGATTATCTATCTATTTATGATAATCTATTTAATGAGCTCTTTTCCTCTTTTAATTTTGGCTAGTTTGTCTTTCTTTGGAGGGAACTACCTGTTTCATTTTTCTTTTTTTTTCTTTTAATATTTTATTTATTTATTTGAGAGAGAGAGAGCATAAGCCAGGGCAGAGGAAGAGGAAGAAGCAGACTCCCCGCGGAGCACTGAGATCATGAACTGAGCCGAAGGCAGATGCTTAACTGACTAAGCCACCCACGCACCCCTCATTTTTATTTTCAGACTTAATATTAGAAAATTACAATGGTGGTCTCTTACATTTTAAAAATCACTGTATCTGTGGTTATATCTACTTTCTCATGTTTAATGCTTTTCTCTTTATGTGCTTATTTTATTGTGTTTATTATCAAATTTTCCAAAGGTTTTATTGTTTTATTGGTCATTTTATAGCACCATCATATGAATTTATTTGTTCATGTATAGATTTTGGTTGACATAACTTACAGTTGTTCTTCAGGAGACTTCAAAAAAATTTCTTAATAGAATCCAATTTATCATTTTTTTAAATGGATGATGCTTTTGTGTTGTAAAAATCCATTGCCAAATCCAAGGTCACTGAGATTTTCTCCTGTTATCTTGTAGGAGTTTTCTGGTTTTGTATTTTATGTTTAGGTTTATGATTTATTTTGAATTAGTTTTTGTGAAAAGTGTAAGTTCTGATTCCAGTTTCTTTTCTCCCCTTTTGTATATGGACATTCAATTGTTGCAGCATCATTTGTTGAAAAGACTTCTTTTTTTCATTCACCTGTCTTTATTCCTGACAAAGACTGTCCTTGAGGACAGCCTTGGTCAGGCTCCTCTTGGCGCTCTATTCTACTGGGCCTGTCCTTGCCCTGCTTAGTTCAGCTTTAGCAAGAATCATGTCAGTTTGGAGCGAATCCCTATTCTTTGTAAGTAATCACCCTGATATCTCATCAAATTACTCATCTCTTTCAGTATCTTATCACCATGGCCTGCCTTTAGCAAGAATCCTCCTTTTCCTTGATGTTTCCTTTTAGGCATTTTCCATCCTCTGACTCCCACCTTCTCCTTGGCTATAAATCTCCACTTGTCCTTATTGTAATCAGAATTCAGACTGATCTCTCTCCTCTCTGCAAATCCCATTGCAATAGTCCTTCTCAAATAATGTCTTGCTGTCTTTAACAAGTGTCATGAATAATTTTTTCTTTAACATTCATTTGTCAAGATCAGTTGATAATATTGTATGGGTATATTTCTGGTTTCTGGGGTCTCTGTTCTATTGCTCTTTTTTTTTTTTTAATGGGTACCATATCGTCTTGATTACTATAATTTTACTTTAAGCCTTGAAATCAGGTAATGTGAGTCCTCCAACTTCGTTTTTCAGTATTCTGTTGGCTATTCTAGATCTTTTGTTTTTCTATGTAAACTTTATTTTTTAAATTTAAATTCACTTAGCCAACATATATAGTACATCATTAGTTTTTTTTTTTTTTTAAAGATTTTATTTATTTATTTGAGAGAGAGAATGAGAGAGAGCACATGAGAAGGGGGAGGGTCAGAGGGAGAAGCAGACTCCCTGCCGAGCAGGGAGCCTGATGCGGGACTCGATCCAGGGACTCCAGGATCATGACCTGAGCCGAAGGCAGTCGCTTAACCAACTGAGCCACCCAGGCGCCCACATCATTAGTTTTTGATGTGTTCAGTGATTCCATGTAAACTTTAGAATTATTTTGTCACTATCTACAAAATAGCTTGAAGAGATTTTGATTGGAATTGCATTGAATCTATAGATCATGTTCTAAGAATATCTTAATAATATTGAGTCTTTATTTTTAATTTTTTTTTATTTTTAAAGATTTTATTTATTTATTTGTCAGAGAGAGTGTGTGCACAAGCAGGGGGGAATGGCAGGCAGAGGGCAAAGCAGGCTCCCTGCTGAGCAAGGAGCCTGATGCAGGATTTGATCTCAGGACCCTGGGATCATGACCTGAGCTGAAGGCAGACAGTCAGCTGCCTGAGCCACCCAAGCGTCCCTACAATATTGAGTCTTTTAATGAATGAGCATGGAATATCTGTTTATTAAGACCTTTGATACTTTTCATCAGAATTTTGTAGTTTCCACATACAGAATTTGCAAATATTTTGTTAGGTCTACACCCAAGCTTTGTTTTGTTTTTGTTTTTGTTTTTGTTTTTGGCAGGATGTGGTGTTATAGTGGTTTTAAAAAAATTTTTAAAAATTTAAAATTCCA